GTTAGCAAGAATTTGTGTTTCAAAGTATCGCAGTGGTGAACTCTTGCGTTATTTGAAGTGCAATAACATGTTTTTTTCGAATTTTTTTTCAGTTGCATTTACTAATTACAGGGGCCTACACGTAGCTGATCGGTGAGTTGTACATAGAAAATATAATTTTCTTACAAAAAAATGTATATTTCGCCCCCAATGGATACATTTAGCTCAATAACCGCATGCATTCGGCTTCTCCTATATTTATAGTTTCAATTCCAATAGCTTCTTTCCTTAGCTGGGATGTTAAATCCTCTCTACGCACCATATGCAGGAGTAATGCATATCACGCCTACTACTCGGAGTCCTTTTCTTATTTTAGTGTTGTGGCTCTGGTATGTGAGAATGCTATCATGACACTTGGCGGCATTGGAGTAGCTTTGGTGGACTCAAAGGATGTGCCAGACATGGTTTTACAGATATATCTGCAGCGGTAAATTGGAACAAGCTGCCGCATAGTAGGTTGAGAACAACATGTTGACGTTTAGGTTTGCAAATCCCCCGTCACCCCTTGATAATGTCATGGTTCGATGCCTGGCGAATATGTGGATTGCAGGAGCGGTAAGAGAGTTTGAATTTTCGTTTTGAGCGGAATGAATTTTCTTTCCAGAGGTCTATCCATGATGGCGTGATGAAATTGTTCACGCAGATCTCGATCGAATCTAGCAATCGCGTTTATTCTCAAGAGCCTGTAGGGGCGGGAGAGCACAGATATGCGTGGGTTATCTGTATACATCTACCGTTTAACGCTTACCTATTTATCTGTTTTTCTTTTTTGCAAATTTTATTTTCAGCCATGTCTCGCTAGCAGTCGACACAGCCCTAGGAAGAATGGCTGATGGAGTGGCTGAAGGAGAAGATCAGCATGCCTTGCTTGTGCGACTCCTGGAATTGTTTGTTCAACTGGGTATAGAAGGAAGAAGGGTCGGAGAGAAAGTGTCAAAGAGTACTGTTAAGGTGTGTTTGGTTCTACCTATTTCCGCATTTTCATTGCTTTTTATCTCATCTCTTGAGATGAAATGTATCTTTGCATCCGTATGTATGCCTGTCATTTTTTTAGATCTCTAGTAACATTTTCAGATCTCATTCAATGCATTCTGCGCTCTTTCTCGCGTATCTCATATAACTGCTACTTTCTGTCTCTTCATACATTAAGTCAAAGGCATGCATTGTCTAAGTTCTTTCTCCCTTTCAGCTAACCATAGTGGCATTGTCTACATCGAGTAATTCATACAAGGTTTGTTATATGTGACTAAGATGTTCTAGGCGTTCGTGGTGTCCTCCTTTTGTGTTGGATTACATTATCCTCGGATAGGGAGCTGAGAGACTTTATATGGCGTGAAGTGTCCTTAGAATGCATGGTCTCGTAATTCTTGTTGGAGTGAAAGCAGCATACACGGTCAATACCTATTTTTTGATGTGTAAAATTTGAGTTACTCGTCAGAATATGGGTGATGTACTTTCTCTTACAAACAACTTTATGTCTTTTGGGTTGGAGAGATGAAAGTGTGTGCTCAGTAGTGCTTCTTTAATCCTAGAAATCGTTCTGTACAATTGCCCAGACAAGGCGACCCATTTGATTGTAATCAAAATCTGCCTAGGAAAATAAGAAAGGCATCTTTCAAGAGTTTACATCTTCTATTGCTCCCACTTTTATGCTGACAATGATATTAGAGAAAGCAGTATTTCGAACATTTAGCAAGGTTACATAGACTTTCTTGAAGGCGATGTTCGCTATTTGCTCAGTGTTTCACCTTGCTTGTTCAACTATACCTATTTATTTACACCAGATTTTTACACAACTTTACTGTTGTAGTAGATAGAATTTCCATATTCTTGTATAATGCAATTAAAGATTGTCTAGAAGCTGCTACATTCAGATGTCGACCAGCGCTGGAAATCTCGGCGTTTTAATGCCAAAAATTGCAACTCTTTTGAAAAGAATGGAACCAATTTCAAATCCTTCAACAAGATTGAGGAACTTGTTCAGGTGGAGAGGCTTCCTTTCAATTTGCATCTGGGGCTACCTTAAACTTTCTTTTCCAGAGATTTCTGGTTTTATTGCACCGTGCTGGGATTCGACGTTGAATACTCAGGTTGGTAATACCTTTTCCCTCTACTTATCAAAAAATTAAAAGTTG